GGCAGTGACTTTAAATGCAAAACCGCAACATCGCCACAAGGAGGCAGCCCCACTCTGCATGGCGACGACACAATCTGCACTGATCGAGAACTTCCGACACGAGTCTGGGACGACTGGTGGAGGAGGGTCCAATGTTGCCGACTTTACAGGCTGGTCACGAGGTTTTTTTCGACTTTTTGGGTCTCCCAAGCAATGGATATTAAAGGGATTTTCTGAGCTAAAATGTCATTCAGCAGATGTTGGAGCAATTGCCAGGTATGTGTTAAGGAACCTATGTCAGTCTATTGTTACAGAAATGTAATATAAAACATTGAAAACTCATTTCTTTAGAACTGCTTTTGTGTTTAGTTTGTTATCTTTTCCTCGAACCTCCGATGTGCACAGTGGGCTACGTACAGTGCGAAATAAGTTCAACAACATCAGCAACAGACATTATCCAAACAAACTCTGAGTGCGTTTCGTAATAATTAGCATTTTCTTCACACATCATTGTGTTTACATCGGAGGGAGGTTTCGTCTCGAAGTTTTTCGGATTGCAATGGGGGACGAGTGGGGGGGGGGATATCAGACATTCAGTTCACCCCGTTCAATTCGTGGTCCATTATCTCGTGATATGTCTGATGACACTTAAACTCGCTCGAGATTTCATGAGGTTTGTTTGGGGGAGACTCCCCTCACCTTCACGGGTTGACAACGCTCACCAATCAACCATTATCGATCCACTGCTGGATGAAGGCCTTGCGAGCCTTCGCCACCTCTCCTTGGTAACAAGGACGGCGGGGGATGGGGGCGGTGGATGTTGTTGTTGTTGGTTGTTATTGGATGTTGTTGTTGGTTGTTGTTGTTGGATGGGAAACTAAACGGAAGGGGGGGCGGGGGTGATGGCTAGTGCTTGGCGAGGGGAGTGGAGTAACTACTGGGGTCGTTTTTACTGTTTTTATGTCAACGCGAGCCCGGCACAGAGCACACACCGCGACGTGGAAAGGGCGACACACAAACACCGCGGCCCTTGGCCACGAGCTCTGTGCGCCGCAGTTTAAAGACGGGGGGAGTGGAGTGGACTCGCTGCCCGACTGAGTGAGGACCGCGGCAGGGGTAGTGAATGTCTCTCAAAGGGCTGCGTCTGCTGCTTCTGCTCACAGCTGCAATTTTCAGCCATAATGCCATGCCATGGGTGGGTCTGCCGCATTATTGGGTCCCCTCGAGGCACCCTGACTTATTGTACTGTCGCTAACCTCTATTACCTTGTTAGCCTTGTACAAAAACTATTCCTGGTGTGGGTCATGCTTTTATCTTTTTTTTATAAATACATCTCTAGGAACGTGTTTGTCGTGACGCCGCATTCGACGGCGTGGGACGTGTCCGTTTGTAGCTCCGCGCTGCAACGCGAATTGTCTTGAGGCGCCCAGCGCGCGCGTGCGCGCGCGTGTCGGGAGCGGTGGTGCAGCGGTTAGCGCGTTCTGGGCAAATGGTCCTGGAATTCTGAGATCGATTCCCGGCTCACGGCCAACACCGGTGACGATGATCTCAAGCGGTCCTGGGCCTCTTCCTAGGTCGACTCGGCCTCAAATGAGTAACTGGTGCGTTGTGCAAACATCGCCACTGGGGAGACAAAGGCGGCCGGGCGTGGGATTGACCACTCAACCCCCTCGTGTGCCGGTCCGGCCTTCATAGTTGCTCTTCGTGAACAGCACACGCTCCAATCCTGTTAAAGGTGAAACGGGGGGTCTTTGTCTTGGAGGGGGGGTCATTGTTGCAAGCATGGGGAGTCGTTTACACGTGGGGGCACAGCCCCGCTTGCTTGTCCAGGTTATTTACACGGAGTTTGCGTGCATACACGCGTTGTGTCACAAGCACATTGCAATGCAGAAACAACATTCAGAATGGTCAAAGGCTTTTGACTCACCACGTACATGTCACGTCCGCAACATTTGAAACAAGTTTTGAATAGTCAGTGTACGTCATAGCTGTATGCAGCAATGATGCTGTAGTGATAATGATAATTTTACAGTCCTTGTCTTTGTCAACCCACTACTGAATGAAGACCTTCCCCATGCTGTGTTGGTTGCGGGGGTTGTTTGACCATACTTCACCACACTGGTCAGTGTGGGTTGGTGAAGAGGGAGCCTCCCAGGACTGGCTCAGATGTCGCTCCACCAAACTTAAACATTTTTGTTTTACCAGCTAAGGCCCACTGACTTATCATTTGAAAATTCATAGCAGCCAAATTCTCTCAGGACATGTTTCTAAATGTGGAGAGAACCCCCGGGGGACCCAGAGAAAAATCCACGCGACCACAGGGAGAGAGAGACACGCAAACTCAGCAGGCGTCAGGTTCGGGATCGGACCCACGACCTCCTTGCATACCAGGCGAGGTAGTTAACATCTCACCACTGTGGCGACACTGATTTTAGCCGTCGCAGCGAACTGAACGTAGGTTCACCGGGTTGACAGCGCAGTGCGCCAACAAATATATAAAGACCACAATAATACAAATGGGCTTTGATAATTGAGAATTTCCACAACGAGTTTGAGTATGAAGATTCCTTTTTGATGTTTGGCTAATTCCATTGAGTGCCTGGAGAAAACCCACACGCACAAAACTCCACACAGACAGATTCACGAATCTATTGCTGTACTGCCATCTCATGGCCACCTCGCAGCCCAAGCCGACGACTGCTGGTACTCCACCCGGGTATTCTCCAGCAGTCTCGCATCCAAGAACTAACCAGGCTCAACCTTTGCTGAGCTTCCCAAGATCGGTTGACAGTTTTGCGCACACGCAGGCTGATTGGCTCACGCTATATTTGTCGTGCATTGTGTTGTACAATATGGTGACTGCTGTTTGTTTTCAGAGGGGCAAGTTATATTCATCTTTCCCTCAACACCACATTCTGAAACCTGAGATTTGGCATGTGAGGATATGAATGTGGTCAAAGACAAAGATACATTGTTGATGTGCAAGTTTACTTACTGTGCCAGAAGAGGGGGGGGGGGTCACGTTGGTGGTGGTCCCTTTGCCAGCAATTTGAAGCACCTGCGTGGTTTCTGTTAATTGACTTTGAGTATAGGATGGCAAACATATAAGCCTCGGCCGTGTATTACATAAATTGTGGGTATCAGATGTGAGCGTGCAGTGTTTACAGCACTGGTTGTTGTCGGCCTCGTTCTGTCGATGTATGCTTGCTCAGCAAAGGGGGGGGGGGGCAGCTTGTGGCCCACCAGCACAGCTGTGACACCACCGCCACCACCCCCACCGCCACCACCGCCACCACCCCACGCATGTGCGATGGAAAACCCACTTACGGCAAAGAGGCGCAGGTGCAGCCTTGCAACTGCGTGCTCACGTCGCTGCTGGCAGAAGGGCCTCCTCCCCGAGCGAGAGAGAGAGAGCTGTTGAGAGCCCCCCCCCCCCCCCGCCCACATCTCTAGTGAGTATTTGGCCTTCTCTTCCACACTGGCTAGAGATCTTGGCAGAGGTGACAGTGGAGACGCTTTGTCCCAGCACACGCAACTTGACAATCGACTGTGGTGCTCCTTTATATAAATCTCTGTACTGCTGTGTGTATGTTGAGATTCGTTCGCACCGTGTGTGGCCAACCGTGATAATCGGAGGTCCGGGGGAAGGGTGGGCAGAGATGCAGGGATTTAATACATTTGGCACCTTTGTTTCGACTGCCACGCAGGGAATCGAATCGAACCAGTGACCTCTGGATTGCAAGTCCAAGGTACCCACGTGATAAGACAAGGTGATCCGTTTAGAGACACCCCACACTGATTTATAATGACCCGTTTTCTCCTCAACAGGTGACTGAATGTTATGAAAGTGATGGCTCCACATTAGGGCAAAGTGTATCAGGAGAGCTCTAACTAATATATGAATACACTAGGACCCGTGGGAGACATGAAGAGTTTGTCAATTTAAAATGTTTACTCAAATATCTCTATTATTTTAGTGAGGTTGTGTATAGTGGATCACTGTATTATTGACAATGAGACAGGACTACACCTGTGATCCAGCACTATGGATGTAAGGGATGATTCTATCTGTGCAGAGCTTTGAGTGTTATCGCCTTCTGGTTGTGGGATTTCTCAAGACATGCCGATTTTCTCCTATTTGCCAAAAAACTAATTGATGACATTTGGCCAAACATCCCAATGTAGGACCCAATTCGGACAAAGTATTTCTGCTCATTGAGGCTATTTCGGTTTACAAAGGGCATTATCGTTCCAACTGCAAATAGTATGACAAATACAAGTGTTCCATTGTATTGCGTTAATGTCGATATGAATCATATTTTGTCAAGCATTTTTTCGATAGTTGTAAAGCAGATACCAACAAATATATAATTTCAACGGGATTCATACAGTTTGGTGAACACATTTATACAATGGTCTAAAAGATTTTGGAATGTATGTATGTTGAACTTCTTTCGCACCATACGTAGCGATTCCGTGTAAATTGGAATGCGATGAAGCCACTAAATGCTGTTTTAATATATATGGAAATATAAATAGATATATATACAGATATGTGATGGTGTAGCGGTGGCGCAGGAGGTGGGGGTGGAGGGCACTATGCTCGGATCCTGCCGAACAAAGATCGGTTGTCACGGCTAACATCAGTGGCGAGTGAACCATTCCTGCCGTCCCCGCCTTCCCTCCCGTCACCTACCTGGACTGAGCAGCATGGTGAAGTATGGTCAGACATTCCTCGTGAGCGGCATGGTTTGTGGGGGTAAATCCGTCATCCAGCAGTGGCTTGACAAAGGGAGTCTTTTATAGCAGGAGATTGTCCATCGATTGGAACTAATTAAGTTGTGTGTTTTTATCACACGTAACAGAGGAAGGCTATTCATGTTATAGGTTGATACATTGTAAGTTCAAGTGAAGGAATGCATCTGCATGCTTTCAATGCCACATTCTCAAAGTGTTCTGGCCACACCTTACACCAATTCTAAAAATACTTGGGTTCAAATTATGAACCTTCACGACATTACTTGAGGGGTAAATAAATATTTTTATTTTAAAACACGCAAAAAGTCATACAACCAGCTGTATAACAGTCAAATAGTTACAATAATGAATAATTAAAATGAAATTCAAAATAAGAATGTCAAACACATCATGCCACAAATAGGCACAAACCACCAGTTTGGAAATCCTGCACTATACATATTCAAAATAACCAGCACCGAGGCACTTACGTCAAAAAAAATAAAAGTTAAGTTCAACAAACATCACACATCAAGAGGTGTCAAGAATGTACATTGCGGTATTCACAAAGATGCGTGGCAAGGCAGTCAACGTGGACACGCCAGAACGCAAAATCACACAAGTCGTCATTTGACGTTTTGATTTCAAAAATTACTTCTACAAGGTCCCAAATATGTAAACCTTTGAGATTTTGCCTGAGCATATATTATGTAAAAACTAAACAAACATCACCCGAGCAGGTTCGTTGTGTAACATTTGTGACCATCTCTGTCTGCCAGTGTTATGTCAAAAAAAGCTTTAGGAAAGGCGCATTCAAAGCAACCTACATTCACTCCTTATACGTATATAAACTTCATTTCACTTGCTTTTATTTGTTAAAGACTCATCGAGTGAGCAGCTTGAGGCAGCTGCCTTTCATTCATACAAGACATCTCCCCAAAATAATCCTTCACATTCCCAACCTTACCAGCGTCAACAAAACGCACCTTGACAGCGCCGTCTCGGGCGTGCGCCCGCGCGCCTTCGTGGGAGGAATATTTGCAATAAATAAACGACGACAATCTCCACTGTGCGAAGCTGGTAAAGCCACGGCACACGTGGCATTGTTAGTTCACTGACAGGAGTGCACCTCCATAGGCTGCTTGTCACATCAATTACGTTTTGACATCGAACCAAAATCTTCTATGAAAGAGAACGCTTTTCTTTCTTCCTACAAAGCGTCTATAAACGTTCAGGCTCTTATAGGGTCACCGTTGTTTTTCTCCACTGCAGAAAGCAGCTGGTCGCCTACCACATGATCTATAAATGAGGGCAATGCTACTTTAGTATTGTTTTAGCAATTAGTCATTTTAGGCAGTCGTGACAATACATTGTGTGGGAAGTTCTTCATGTTTAGCATGCACACACGTATATAAAAACAGAACAACGAAAATAAAACTAATCAAAGCTCAGCGTGGCTCCACTGTCGTCAAATGCTTGCGTTACGCACCTCCCGCAGAGTTCAGCTTTATAGTAGTAACCAGTTAAGGCTTTGTCAACATTCCGTTAGCGCCCGTCCCTTTGACAGTCTTCGACAAAGTGCAAATGGTCCTGCGCGATACCGTGTGCGGTTTCTCTCTTGAGTCAGGCGAGCAACTTCTCCACGCCGAACGGCAGGTGCTGCGCCAGCTGCGGGAAGACCTTGACGGGCCGGGCCTTCTCCCCGTGGGCCTCGCGAAGCCAGGCCGCCTCCGCCACGCTCAAGGGGATCAGCGGCCCCAGCGCCGTGGCGAACAGCGGCGGCGGGCCGCCCATCGAGGGCTGCGCGTGCAGCGCCAGCGGGTGCATCAGCGGGCGGTAGGCCACCGCGTCGTAGGTCCACAGGCCGCCGCGGGGATCCGGCAGCCCCAGGTAGGCCACCTCGCCGAAGCCGAGGGGCGACGGCGGCCTGCGGATCGCCTTGAAGGCGGGTGGCGCGGCGGGCACGTGCGGCCTGCTGAGCAGGCTCTCGATGGCAAAGGGGCTGGAGAACTTGGGGCCGGCCTCGCGTCCCCCGTACCGGCGGCAGGGCGTCTGCGCCGTGTCGCCGGGCGGCGGCGGCGGCGGCGGCGGGGGGGGGGACGGCGTCGCCCGGCCCTCGCTGCCAGAGCCGCCCCGCGAGCGGGAGATGCGCTTCCTGCGCCGCCTGAAGACGCCGTCGGCGAAGGTGTACTCGCTGTCCGGGTTGATCATCCAGAAGTTGTCCTTGCCCCAGGGCCGCGAGGGGTCGCGCAGCACCTTCACGAAGCACTCGTTGAGGGACAGGTTGTGGCGCACCGAGTTGCGCCAGCCCGTGTAGCTGCCGCGGAAGAAGGGGAACTTGCTCATCAGGTAGTCGTTGATCTCTGCCAGGGTTAGCCGGCCGGTCTGAGAGTCGCGGATCGCCATGGCGATCAGCGCGATGTACGAGAACGGTGGCTTCGGACGGCGCATGTACGCTTTGCCGGACTTGGCTTGCTGCTGCTGCTGCTGCTGCTGGTGATGCTGCTGCTGCTGTTGCTGCTGCTGCTGCTGCACGTCCGTCTCGAAACCCATGGCGGACACCGAGCTGTAGCTGCCACCTGCGCTCAGCTCTCCGTCCGAGGAGCCGAGGTGGTCGTCTTCGGGAGGAAAGGGTGACGCGGCGACCCCGGAGTCGGAGTCGCTGAGCAGCTCCGAGCACCGGCGCTCCTTGGCCACACTCTCAAGACTTTTGTGGAGACGCAGGACGCTGCCCAAGCAGATGTCGGGTTTCACCTCCATCGTGTTAAGAGGGGCAGCAGCCTCTTGTAGGTGGCACGATGTCTCCACGTTATTTCATCAAACGGAGACAAAAATAATATAAAAAGCAATCTCTGAGCGCACCTCGTCAACCTGCGCGCCCTGGACTTGCTCGTCACCGAAAGCCAAAGAGAGGCCCTTGTCCAGTTACAAAGCAGAGCAGCGATTCAACTCAAGTCGAAAGCGGAGATCGCTTTCCGTTCAATCAGTTTCAATGTTTTTGGTCCAACGGAGGGCCGAGTCGCTTTGAGGAATGTTTCTCTTTTACCTGTCCTTAAGTACCTGTGGGGTTCGGTGACGTCAATGGGTGCTGCCATTTGAAAGGGGGTGGGGGGGGTGGGGTGCATGGAGTGTGAAATGCAGGAAGACTTCCCCCTCCAGATAGCGCGTATTTGTTTACTTTTGAGGAACGGGACAAAATCGCCCGGAGGAGTTTTTGTCGGGCAGTGCCTCGTCTCAATAAATATATATGTGTGTGTGTGTAATATGTCATCTTCTATTAAACTGTGGATGAGAATGTGCCACTTCAAACGTGCGCGACGCGCTACCCCCTCCAGGTCACCGTGGCGACACGGGACGCCGACGTGTCTCGTGCGGCCACTCGACACGGCTGAGTGGCAGTCCCCTCCCTGCGCTGGTCAAACACGCAGCAGCCGCGGCAGCAGCAGCGTCGCCTGTTTGCCGTCACACACGGGCAGGCCCTACTCGCAGCACTCTACCCAGGGTACACACTCGCTCGCGTACACACACACTCGCTCGCGTACACACACACTCGCTCGCACACACACACACTCGCACACTCGCGCGTGCACACACTCGCTCGCGCGTACACACACACATTCGCGTACACACACTCGCGCGTACACACGCTCGCGTACACACACTCGCACACACACACTCGCGCACACACACACTCGCACACACGTACACACACACTCGCACACACACTCGCACACACACACACTCGCACACACACACTCGCACACACACACTCGCTGGCGTACATACACACAAACTCGCTCGCGCGTGCACGCTCTCCCTGAACTGTGGCCACCACGCACTTGCTGATGCGCGCGTGCACCCACGAACGCCGCGCGCCGCACACTCGCTGCACGTTCCCCTGCGCACACTCACTCACGGGCACACCAGACTTGTCGCATTTTATCCAGACAAAGATCCCCCGTATAGACTGTAGGAGCAAGCGCTGTTAGCGAGCACCTTTGAAGGCCGGCACGGCACACGAAGGGGTGGGTGACCAGTACCACGCCCGGCCGCCTTTGTCTCCCCAGTGGCGATGTATACACACCACACCAGGTACTCATTTGATGCTGAGTCGACATAGGGGAGGCCCAGGACCGGTTCAAATAATCGTCACTGGTGTTGGCCGTGAGTAGGAATCGGACTTTGCTCGCCAGGTTCGTAGCGCAGCGTAGTGCTAATCGCTACACCACCGCTCCCCACGCACACATGTTCAACCCTATGTAAACAAATCACCATGTGCATTGTTTCCCATGCATATTCAAGTGTGTTATTTATAACAGAAAGGTATAAAACAACATTTCTAACCGTGACTGTCTGGTTGGTATATAAAAAGTAATTAAGTAATGAATTGGTCAATAAGAAATATGAAGTAAAATAGGAAACTAAACAAAGATCTGAGGTCACTACAAATCAAACATGTCGCCAATGTAATAATAAGTGTGCAATGTCTACTATTACATTCCCATAACGATCTGGGGGATGATCATCTGATATTGTATCAAATATCATATAACATGAGCAACATTACTGTGTATATTAATATATCACATGCAGGTGTGGATCAGTGGTGCAGCGGTGAGCGCACCGCGCTATGAACCCAGCGAACTGAGCCGCCAATATCTGAACTGGTCCTGGGCACCCTGCCACTTTGTCACGAACCTGCACTGACCAGCGTGGTGAAGTATGGTCATACAACTCCAAACTCCCATGGTTGTCAGGCAAAGGGGAGCCCTTCAACCGGCATTGATTCGACAGGGGGTTAAATGTATTTAATATCACAGGTGAAGCTTGCTTCGTCGATAGCGCGTCAATAGATAAATGTCAAAACAAATCCTCGAGGTCAAGCCATCGAAAACGGATCAAGCGTTTCAGCAACACAATTTGAAAGTTGCCACTTTTTACGTCGCTGAAACTTGCTGAACGTGCGACCCACCTCACATGAGGCTGCGCCACTGTTGACATGTACACATACACGCGCAGCCGTGTGCCTGCAGCCCACCACTGTGGACATGAAACATGAGGTCCGCACAACAATATTGTTCACAAAAAGACAAACGTGTAAATAGCCGCCCGTCCGCCCCTCTCAATTGATGTATATAAAGCGCCGAACGTGTAGCCACGCGCAACATTCCACCCCGAGCTGTTGACGCTCCTCGCTGCCATAATGATGGGGTGAGGGTGAGGCCCCCACTGCATCCACGCGATCTGAGACACGCACAGCTCAGCGGTCGCACCGCCAGATGAATACGCCGAGTTTAGAGTTGCAGGGCTACATCCCCGAGAAGCCATCGTCAGCATCTCAGTGGACCCCCCCCCCCCCCCCCCCCACATTCTAGATTAAGGCTGCCCCATCGGGGGTCCCCATTTTACATTCATAAAATCTGAGTGAGAACGAGCAGGGGTCGATAAAATAGGTACCACTCGGTGGGGAAGTCAATAGTGGTTGTTTTTTTGATAGACTCACCCCCGGCATGGGAATATGGAATTTCCACCACTGGCTCGGTGACGTGAACCGGAGTTGAACACGTTCAGTGGGATGACAGTAGAGAGACGCAGACAAGAGAATTGAGGTTCAGTGCCATAAGAGAAGAGGCGCACAGAAGTAGAGTTGGAGTGAGGTGAGACGAGAGATGCAGACGAGAGAGATGAATGCGATGAATCGAATTTTCATTATGGCCATGAACTTTTATGTTGATCTGGAATTCAATTTGAAATGATAATTTGTGCACCGCTATTCATTTCATGAATCCAGGGCCTCTTAAGCTGCTTTTGCTTGGTTTTGATTCTGCCTGGCGCCACCACCGCCCTTGCTTGCACGCTCGCTGTCTGCCAACACGACTGTTGTCATTCACTCGGGTCATCGTCATCATTGGTCATGATCAGTCCACTGCTGGATAAAGACCCCCAAGCCATCGCCAGTTCGATGTAACAATTCACATCGCGCACTGCACTCCATTAATATCCCTGCTTGATGTCCTCTTGGGCAAGTTCCTCCCTTTCCTGCCACGCTATCGTCAGCCCTGACGACATGCCCTCATTATTCATATATTTATAGCAATGTATCCTGCAGCGCTAGAAATAATATCGTACATATTTTGCCCGTGTAGGATCTCCAGTCTATCCGTTCCTCTTTTCGCCTCTCAATGCAACCGATTCCCAGCATGCATCTCTCCATGCTTCTTTGCGCAACGTTTTTTTTATTTTCGTTCCCCTTTGTTCGTGAATGTCCATGCGTCTGATCCGTTTGTCACTGCAGATCAGATGTTGCACTGATTGGAAATGTTCTCTTGACGTAGAGTCATTCATTTCCCCCCAACTAAAGAAAATGTCACCAGCATCGCAGAACTTACCACAGTGATGTGTCAAAAAGGCAGCACATGTTTATATATGTGAACAAGGAAATACCTCGTCACTGAAAACGAGTTCTCTTACAATCTTGACAACTGGCCATCATTCTTTCGTATCTTTGGCTTCAAATAGTTGTAAACACCATGACAAATCATGCGATGATTTATTGACTGCAGTGAGCTTATTTCCCCCAACAAAACATAGACTGTACGAGTCTGTGCACGCGTTTATTTATGAGTCTGTATCTTAATAAGTCCAATTAATTACGTGCTTAAACGTACAAGAGCATATCCCAAGGTGCTATACAGAACGATTCACGTAAACATAAGTAGGAAAAACAAACAGACATGAAAAGATATTTAACAACATAATGCATAAAACTATTCATATATAGTATAACCATCCTGGATTTGCTGATGACATTGACATTATACCAACCAGTGGTAATGCACTGCAGGGGATGCTTGAAATAACGTAATATACAAAGGCTGGAGAGTGGGCTCGAAGATAATTTGCGGACAAACCAAGGTCACTTATGAGCGCATCCGCTGAACAAAGTCAAATAGCTGTTGGATCGGACACAACCGGGAAACGCGTCAGGGCGGGCGTCTGTCTCGGGCAATAGTTTGGCAATCAGGATGAGGGTGATGAAATACACGAGGGAGGGCAAGGGCGGGTCGGAGGGCTTTTGGAAAATATGAACTTGACGGTGACTTGAGACGTAGCGATGTCCGATGCAGCTGCTGTTAAACCGAACTGTCCAAGGCAACGTTCCTCGGCTAGCCTGACAGCGGAGACGGGACATTGACAGTCGGACGGCGTCTGGTCCGGTTTTACGCGGCTCTGACAAATCTGGGATTGTTTGTTATTATTGTACCCGAAGAGATAATGTGTTTAATCAGCGTATGTCACCTGCTTTGACATTGATTAGAAACAAGGACATCTACAAAAGTATACGGAACGAAAGCTAAAAGGCAGGATGGAGAGATGTATGCTGGGAACTACGCAACAAAGGATGAGGATCATTGCATTGGCCAGAGGATAAATTAATCCACAAAGATCGGATGTTCTGCTGGTTGGCACTCGGGGTCAGGTGAAAACATTTGTGGGAGGCACAGGTGTGGTGGTCGGAGACTTCAAGACTCAGTTTTCTAATCATCTAAAGAGCTTTGGCACCATACTCGACCAGAATGTTGTTTGATCACCACGTGCAACGTATAGTCAAGTCCTGCTATTTTCATATCAGGACTCTGACATAGCCAACACGGTGGCGTGCAGCATAGTATCGACAAGGCTCGATAATTGCAACTGACTACTCTACGGGACGTCTGGCAAAAACAAGCTGCGACGTGTACACAATATATTTGGCACGTGTCATGACGGGTACTGCGGGATGAAGATCCGACCATGAACTGCTTTTTGTGTTTAGTTTGTTGTCCTTCCCCCGCACCTCCGATTAGCACGGTTGGCTACGTTCGGTGCGATATAAGGTCAACAAACATACATACGTACACACATTATGGACATCATATCAAATGTCCAGAAAAGGTGGGCTTGGGTAGGACACATCGGCAAAAGGGATGAAGGCCACACGGATGAGACGAGCGATGGGATGGTGGTAACGCGTCTGAGAAATAACCATCACCACGGA